CCCCAAAACCCCAAAACCCCAAAACCCCAGTAATTTAAATTAGAGGAATCAGGATAAATCAAAGATTCAAATTAAAATTGATTATAATCAAGAATAATTATTAATAGTTATTTCTAGCTAAAATTAAATGTACTTTTCTCCAAATTCCTACTTCAATTACCAAAAAAGGAAGATTTAGATTGGACAATTACGGAAACTTAACTTGTGTAACCAAGGTTATTCGCACGACTTACTCTCTAAAACCAAAGTATTTAAGAATCGTGAAAGATAATTCTAAATAAGAAAGTCTATTCAATCCACAAAAATCATTAACAAATGAAAGGAAAAGTCATACGAATTTTAAGCACAGTAGCTATCATCAATCTGGTTGCTACTCTTCAAACTTAATCTCGCCTTAAATCGCAGCTTCAAGCTTAGAAAGTAGGCGGATCACTTGATGCATGGCTTGGCTTAGTTCAAAATAAAATGGCTAATAATGGCGGTGATGGTTCTTCAGGCAAAAAAAAGCACTGTAAGGATAAGAATCACGATGGAAATTGTGACTGCGCGGAAGTTTCAACAACAACGACTACTGCTGCTCCAACCATTCCAACTCCATCCTCATCACAAACTACTACTTGTGGATGTTCAACAGAAGCACCTACTACAACTGAGCAACAAACCACTTCAGAAGCACCAACTCTACCTCCAACTACAACAGAGGCTCCAACTCTACCTCCAACTACAACAGAGGCTCCAACACTTCCTCCTACAACTACAGAGGCAACAACTACAGAGGCTCCTACCACAACTTAAGAATAAACCACAACTGAGGCCCCTACTACCTAGGCACCAACAGAAGGACCAACACTTCCTCCCTCTAATTAGACTACTCAGGCTTGTTCATGCGACATTATTATTCCAATTCCAAGCAACGCCTCATCTGAGATCCCATCTGAGGATTGCAAATACAATAGGAAACATAGAAAATGTAGAAGGGATAAGTAGGATTGTCAATCAACATCTCCAGCACCTACCACTCTTGCACCAACAACTACCTAAGCTCCAGAGACAACTGTTGTTCCAACATTCCCACCAATTCCTCCTTCAAATAATACTCCTTCAGTTTCACCAAACTGCAGCTGTGACGAGAACTGTTCTGCCGAGAATACACCAAATATCTACTACGATGAGGCTCAAGACTGCAACTGGGTCTTCAATATGGATATTATGAACTTCGAGTGTGTCAAGCAAGACTGCAAATGGCAATTCAACGAAACTGACTGCTCATGGTCATGCATTTATAACTGCTCCTGCGACTAGGACGGTAACGTTATTCCTCCAAGCAACGCCTCTTCTAGCTGTGAATATTCATGCTAAGACTTTAAGGATCTAGAGACCAGAGTCGGAGTAGTGGAGAATTTCCTCAGCGGTGGAAACTCAGTTAGTGGCGGATAAGGAAATGCTAAAATCAGATAGGATATTGAGAAAATTAACGGTGAAATTGATGATATCTATCAAATTCTGGATGAAGCTTTCGTCGCTATAGAAGAAATCAATAACGGCACCTAAGCTCGTAGATAAGCTGCGGTCTAGGCTTCAGTCAATTACATATAGGAAAATGGACTTTACTTAGGAGACAGATGGTGGTTAGGCCAACAAAATGAAAATCTTTATGCTATTGATCTTGAATCGCCTTCTCTCTATGAATTCCAATATGGAGTCAATGCTACCCTTGGATGAGTATCATCGCTCTCAAATTATCAACTGCACAAAGATAAATAAACAATATGATTAATTAAATTTAATTAGCCTAATTTAATTCATTTTCATAGCTTTCATATCTCTCTCAACTATTCGGGGTTTTGGGGTTTTGGGGTTTTGGGG